GGATGCAAATTAGTAATTACTAAGGCAATAAAGAAATTAATAGATCATCATCAATCTCATCACCAGAAGTCAAGCATGTATACCAGATGCCATAAATCTATAGTAAATAAAAAAAGATAACAGAATAAACACTTGACTTTCCATTTGACATATAGTCAAATACAATCCTCTTTTTTTTCTTTTTTTCTTTTTCATTTAAGAGAACATTCATATTCGAAAACAATTAAAACAAGATTAGGTTCCACTATAAGATTCATCTTCTCAAAGAACCAACACACACAGAAGCACCCATTTCCAAACAACAACAAAATCTTCGACGGACAATGTATAGAAAATAGTAACAACCCCACAAAGAAAAACAAGCATTGATCAAAAGTCAGATACCTCTCAGGTGCAACAACATGAAAAACCCCAAAAAATAAAGCCAAGATGTCAATATGACATTTACAATAAAAAGCTTCAATCAGAGTTTCGAGTGTACCATTTTTAACACAGGCTCACTGAATCACCTCAGCATTAACTCAATCAACTCGCTCCCACACTGTCAACCTCAGCTTCTCCCACACTCCAATCTCGAACCGTTACTCTCTGTCAAACCCAAAGCACCTTATACGACGCCGCTTCGTCAATAAAATTCACTGATGAAACCAAAAAGCAATCCATGCAAGTCCAAACTCCAAGCTCAGAGCCTCTGCTTATACTGCAGAAACAAAACCCAGAAAAATTAAACTTCGATCGCAGCAAGTAGGCACAGAACGATACGGATAAAGAAAAATACACAAAGCTCAAAAGGATCAAATTGAATTTTCAATAACCTATACATACACATATAGATACATAATTATACATAAGCACGATAAACAGAGCAATGGGGGCAAAAACCTAGAAATTGAGAAGAATGAGAGAGTGTTCGAAAAGAGTGCCTTCGCCGGAACCTTCGCCGGTGGGATTTTCCCGTGCCGGAACACAGAAATTTCCTTCTTGTTGTTTTTATTTTTTTATATGTTTTTGGAGAAAAAAGAGAGAGAAGGACTGGTATGAATATGATGAGTAAGATATGAAACTGAGCTTGGGTCTTTTAAACTATGGCAATAGATTGAGTAGGGAGCTCTGTACTGTTACTTTATGAACCCTGTTATCCTAACCGTACACGTGGGCATCTTTAGCTCATTGTGGATTAGGTGGCTTTAGAGGACAATCATGACCGTTGACAGCTTGCAATGTTTGGAAGCTTCGGAGATGGGAATGTGGTGGATCGCAGCTTAACTGCACGAGTAGAATAGCATACGTGTCGTGTTTCCATAGGCTCTCCCACATGTGCCTATACGGATTCCAACTTGCAAAGATTGATCGGGTGCATTGGTTTTACCGTGTGCCGCAAACGAGAGCAAATTCATTGGTCAGCTGCCGGTATTTCCACTACACCCTTATTTATAATGTTAGTTTGACTACTCCATTTAATATGTGCTAGGTGTTTGATTTCAACACCCAATTCATTTCATATTGGTAAATAAATTTTATATTTAATTTGTTAAGTTAAGGGATATTGAATTTGATAACTCGATTCCAGTTTTTTTTTTTAAATATTTATATAAATTATTTTTTTGCCAAAAATATTTTTATAAATTGACAAGTAATGTAATGTTATGTTACTTAAATAAGTAAATTTACTTAAATGTTTTAAACTTAAAAAAATATTAAACTTACTCTTTCACATGCCACTTAAAAAGAATACATATAAAATTAAGTTTAATTTGTATTTGATTTGTTAAGCTAACAGATTCTCTCATAATCATATCAAAATCCGATCCATTGACATGTCTAGATATGAAATTAATTGCTTGCCTAGAGGACGGTTCTATTTGAATTTATTAGTAACATAATTTTTTTGGGAAAAAAAATGTTAAGGTATGTTATTAAATATATATTAGCTAAGCTGAGCCTAACCAATTCCTCACACTCTTTTCATAGAAGGATTTTAACAAATTTAGGAGGGAGAAATGTTCGATAACAATCGTTGTATCAAACTAACTAATATCAAAACAAAAAACACACATATATATAGCAGAGTTATTGGCTTAAGGAATGATTAAGTAAATTTCTTAAAACAAAAAATTTGTGATCAATTAAATGTGATCGTTTAATTTTATTTTAAGCCCATTGTATTTAACAGCCCAATAAGAAGAAAGTGTTCGACCCAGAAGCAAAAATCTGGTTTGGTTCATTCTAACAGATGCTGTCTTTTTCCTTCTTCTTCAGTCGGGCCCTTTTTTTGTATTGCTTTCTCATTTTTTCCACCCGTACACAAATAATGTGTGCATGTTCATGATTCATCCCCTTCTTTGGTATTTAAGTTCCCTTTGAATTTCAACATACTCATTGATTTTTACTGATTTATTCTAATTGAATTTGAGCAATCAACACGTCAATCATTCTCACGTGTATGAATAATTATCGGTTACTAAATAAACTAAATACATTGTTACGCGCCACAACTCACCAATTTGAGAATGGTTTTCCAGTTATTTTGCTTATATTCAGCCCTAGTGCAAATAGAACTTTTGTTAATGCGATCAATGGTTTTGGATAAGATTTGAATGTGACTAAGACTACAAAATCAACTTAACATGGATTAATTATAATTTTTATGCTGGTTTTTCATGGCTAGTAGGATTTCCAACAAGGCAAGGGAATAAGAACCAAACAATCAACCACACGTTAAGAAATTTCTCTTGCAATGACAACTAGGAGAAAGATTCCAACCGAATACTGCCGAAGCATAATTACTTCGAAAATCTATATGACTGTCACAATGGGATTAAGAATATAGACTTTGATTTTCAAAAGCAAAAAAGATTCGTATGAAAAGCATTAATGTTTTTCATCAAACAAAAACTCTTGTACTAGCAGACGTAGTTGATCAAAACAGTAAGTTCGTTTCCTTGCACTCAAGTATAATTCCCGTATAGGATAGTCGACTATCGTTTGTGTTAAAATGTGCTTAGAGCATCTCCAATAGCCGCATCAAAAGCTTTAGAATTCTAAAATAGGTGAGCCACATCAAAAAAACTCTCTCCAGCAGTCTCTTTAACGTCAGTCATTAAAGCTGCAACCTCTTTCTCTTTCTTTAGAACTGGTAAGTTGACTTTGACTCTTCAAACATTTAATTTTACTTTAGAAAAACAAAACCTACCTTGAAAATGTTAAAAACATGCATTTTTATTTTTCATATAATAAATACACAGACAATTTTCACATTTTTTCATATTTTTAATTCTTTTCCATGATATTGCGTTAAATTAAAGAGTTTGTTGAAGCAAAAATTATTCAAGTAGCAAATAAGACTTTTCAAACTATCACGTAAAAACTTCAATTTGAAAAAATTTATTTGCTATTGCCGTTGGAGATGGGTGCTGATGCACAGGAAGTCATTAGTTAGTGATTGTTATGTGTTTGGTCGGTACGTAATTAATATAGTTGAAGTCTGAGGATGGTAAGATACATATTTGGTAGTTGACTGGGCTCCGGCGGTTTATATAAATTATTTTATATTTATTGGTTGAAATATAAAAAACACCTTTTGTTGATATCATGGCATTTTCACGGAAGGAAGAAAAAGTGTCTGCAAATTGCAAAGCCCCATTTCTTGGACTAACCCTTAGCTGAAAGGTCATCGTTTCTGAAGTTTCACAGAAAATTTCCAACCACCCCCAAATGAGTGAGTCACGCAGAGAAGAGATAAACTTTAAATTCTGCTGCAACTTGATCATCTTTGACAGCTCTGCACTTAGCTTAGTCAGTCAGACTCATGGGTTTGCCTTTCGGTTTACACAATCACTTACCAGTACTTGAGTAAGCATCCAAATCCTAATCCATTTGTGTTGTATATATGTAGCCCACGTCAGCAGATGATGACATTGGCCTGTTTTGGCACATTTGCCCCCTGATTGTAAGACACGTCAAAGAGAACACCCTCTATACGCCAACGTTTGCACAGTCCTAGCTAAAATACTATTTCATAGACATCTCTTTTTCTTAAAGAAGACAGAGAAGAAAAGACACCTCTTCCTTGCCTAACATTCTAGGATAAACTTTGAATACGACTCACGAGTACTTGCATGCGAAACTGCACATGTGAAGTGTGTTCAGTGCACGTAATTAAATAAGATACATTGTATTTGATGCGTTATGTCGTGGTGTGTAAATGAGGAGTTTCGAATTTGAGATCTCTTTTACCATTGGGAAGAAAAGTACCAGTATACTAAGAAGTAGTTGATCATTGGGCCGTGGTTTGAAACATTCAAACATGTATATCTCCTATACGTGAGACATTTCCAAAGAGAAAGATTGGTGCAATGGCGGCAATGAATTATTATAACCCCACACGCTAGACATAGATGGTAATGACTTGTACAAGGGGAAACTTTCTCAGAATTAGGGTGTTGTGTTAGACATTTTAGTCGTTTTGTTTAATCCTAATTGGCATTAATTTCCCAGTACTTATCATTTCAAATTATTTCCGTGGATTAATCTTCTGCTGACTCTATGACATCCTGGATGTTTCGTCTTTCATACTACCAAAACATTACACCAAAAAAAAAACCAGACAAATAGTAAGAAAATGTGAGAATCTTCTAGAAAGCTAGAAGATATGAAGGACTCAGCTCAGGGTCGTCACTGCAGACTGTTTCTTGCACTTCTTGCTATTAGTATATAGGCTGAGCCATGTAGTCATGCTGACGTGGTCAATTACGTACCTGGTTTCTATATGCCGCTAAAGCTCCTTTCACACCAAACAACCAATTAACGAATTCCCTGTTACACACTACTCTCTCTCTCTCTCTCTCTCTCTCTCTCTCTCTCTCTTGTTCTTGTTATTTTAATTTCTTATCCAACTAGAAATTAGCAAAGTCTTTGTTGTCACATATTCTCAATTGTCAACCACATATATGAAAAGTCTAATATCTCAGTGGCCAACTTTCCCCTATAAATACCAATCCCCCAAAACCCCAAATGTTCCATTCCTTTGTTCGTTTTTAACATTCCATCCCAAATACATCAAGTCTTTAATTAGCACTTAATTAATCTCTTGTGTTCTTGCTTGCACATGACCATGAAGAGGAGCATCACAGAAATGAGAGAGCTTGACCCCAGCCTAACCATGGCCAACTGCTTGATGCTACTCTCCCGTGGCAGCCACGACCACCACCATTACGACACCTTCTCCGCCTCCCCCACCCGGGTTTTCGAGTGCAAGACGTGCAACCGCCAGTTCCCTTCCTTCCAGGCCCTCGGAGGCCACAGGGCCAGCCACAAGAAGCCGAGACTAATGGGATCAGGAGATGGAAATAGTAGCAACGGCTCAGATCAGAGCCAGTCACAAGGATCACCACCAAAACCTAAAACCCACGAGTGCAACATATGCGGGCTGGAATTCGCTATAGGGCAGGCCTTGGGGGGTCACATGAGGAGGCACAGATCAGCCTTGAGCAATAATAACAATAATAATAATACTAGTCAGTATTCTGATTCTAACTCTCTGAGCCTGAGCCCTCAGCCTGCGCCAATGTTTCAAGTTTTGAAGAAGACGAATAGCGGTAGGAGGGTTATGTGTTTGGATCTCAACTTGACGCCATTAGAGAATGACTTGAAGATTCTTCAGATAGGGAAAGCAGCTCCACTTGTTGGGTTTTCCTAAATATATCTCTAGGTTTTTGATCCATTTTTATTTCTTGTAATTAATCACATAGGGGTTGCTGATGAGCTTATTACCGATTCTTCTTTTTGGTTACAAGGTGTATCCAGTATTCTTTGTTCATTATATAATTTATACACCATATATGATTATATAGTTTCTTTGTTTAAATTTATTTTCTTTAATATAAGAGTTTGTTGAAGAACAAAAAGGGAAGAAAAAAACAAGAGAAATATTTGAGTAATTATGAAAAAATCATTAAGGTATCTACTGGAGACCAACAAAATAGATGAGTAAGGTATTTCAAGAAAAAACTATAATTGAATGATCAAATGGTTTCGGATTCAAGTGTAATTTTAAATTTTTTTTTAATAGAAATTATATTTGAGAGAATATCTAATGATTTAGATCATTGAAAGGGTATACTTCAACTGAAGCTCTCTATATACATATATCGATTTTTAAGTTTTTATTTTTAAAAGAAGCATATAGTCACTTAACGTGTATCTTCTACTAGTAGCTAGCATCACTACTTGAAAGAGAAGCAAGAAATTGTGGGTTCAAAAGTCAAAAGCAATGGTGCCGTTTGTTTCAAGACATAGAAACGAAATCTTATCTTAGGGTTGCTTTCGTGCAAGTCATTTTTGGTTACTTCCTGATATTTTCTACACTCATTTTCAACATTAATTTGCTTAACTTGTTTAGGGAAAAGAAGAAATGGAAGAGTATGTTGAGGTAGTTGAAATTCTATGGATGTGTTTTATCGAACACTAGCCGTTGTTAAGTCCTACAGATTTTCCAAGAATAATTGGAAAACGAGTTGTTGAATTTAAAACCAAACAATTAAAGAAGGAAAACGTGTACCACTCTTAGGTCCCGTTTGGTTCATGGGAAAAGAGACTTGGGAATGGGAAATCAATTGCTTTCCCATGTTTGGTAAGTTTAGGTATGAGAAATCAGGCTCATGAGAAAGTAAGGGGGAAAGTGAAGCCATCCTCCCAACTTGGGTTTTGTTTTTCCCTCCTTATGAGAAAGTTTGAGAAAATGAGCTAACATTAAATACATATTTTTTATGACTATTTTATCCCCATTAACAATTCAGAATTACAATATATCATTAAATGCATTCTTTTTTTATTTGATTTAATATGGGTATAATTGAAAATTTATACAAACTTTATTTTCCATTCCTTTGTTTTCCATTCATACTCAAAACAAACATGGGAAAGGGAATGAAGTGATATTTCCTGATTACTTTCTCAGCATTACCAAACGTGGGAAAGAAATCTTCCATTCCCATTCCTTGGGGAATGACATGGGAAATAATTTCCCCTCAAATTCATTCCATGAACCAAACGGGGCCTTATTAATAAGGGTTGTTTAATTATAGACATGAGCTTGGTCAAGTTGGCTAAAGTCGATGTATACCACACTCTGCACACGAGTTCAAATCTCCCTCTCCGTAGTTGAAATTAGATTAAAGTACGTAGAACATCACTTGTATCCAAAAAAAAAAAAGGGTTGTTTAATTAGCTAAGCTTATTCGTTCCTAAAAAAAGAAGAAATTAGCTCATCAGTTTGATTACTTGGTTCATAAGATGGTATGAATGATACTTAATTGCCTTTGACTTTCCTAGAAACCATAAACACCTTTACTTAATCCCTTGTCATGATCCCATCATCAATAACCTCACTATCAAAGCAGGAGATTATTAGTCTGATTTGGCTTAATTAATCCACATAAATGCCACGTTAAATACATATCTTCCTCGAGACATATGCTCTATGTGAATGTTTAACTTTATATTCAACTCTGCTAGCCGCACTGCACTGGTCCAATTATATAATATAATGCTTCAACAGTAACTTCTACCCACTCAGGTAAATACTTGCTTTCTGGAATGGTGATGATGAGGTGGGGTAGCTGAATAGTTGGTGCAATTGGATAAAGTTTTAGTCTAACTTTTCCTAACAAAGAAACCGTGTCAAACATTTTAGTAAGACTCCTAATAAAACATCACTAAGACCTGCGCAGCTAGATTGGATCATATTCAACTTCCTTAGTTAGTGTGAACTTGATCTAATTTAGGGAGCAAAATAACAATATAAAAACATGTATAGAAACGTGTCTATATTCGGTACGTAATATAAACCACATACAATTTAATAACATAACATAAAATGCTTATATTATCAGTCCCTGAATATCAACGATGTGATATTTATTGACGCTATGAACATCTACTTATACATATATGAGTAGATGCCTGTATCGCCAGAGTATAAATTTTACTTTTAACAAATTATACGGTTCAGATTTACAGTTTATTAACATAAATTTAACAATAAGACATTACTCATATACACGTATGCATGCGTGTATTGCATGTGGTCGGCATATTAATATAATATAATTTGTCTTATAATCTGACCAGAAAAAATTGCTAACAAGGAAGTAAGTGATGACATATGTGGATTAATAGAAAATAATTAATTTATTATATAGTTGGCTAAGACTGCAAGTAATCGATGATGGGTTTTAAGCTTTGTATATATCAACTTCCCCAACTGACTCCTTCCACTGCATTATTAGTTTCTACATCGTTTTCCATTCGAAATTTCTATTTGAATTTGAACCAAAGTGTACTTCAAAGTCGGCATGTTCATTAATTTTATTCAAATAATTTGAATACAGAGAGAGAGAGAGAGAGAGAGAGAGAGAGAGAGAGAGAGAGAGATATTCTAAGCATAATAAATTTAAAGTCACATTCATATTTAGAAGACAAGGTCCTGGCTCTTGGTAGTGGCTCATACTCTCTGGTGTGGAAATTTGACTGAGATACTATTATATATTGACTTAATTAAGATACCGAAATACAAGACTGGCATGGCCTTTTGTGTTACTCAAAAGTTGGATTAAAAAAGGGTTGGGAGAGTAAGCTCATCATGATTCATGAGGCATCACTGGCTTCACTGGCTGGCTCCTCCTCAAGTCTCCTTTGAACCACAAGTTAGCAACAATAAATACAAGAATTTAGTCAAGATTTGTATAATTTGTCCTGGCTCTGAGAATTTCAGCTCTTGAGATCATAATGTTTGTAATTCGTAGGCTAAAAGCAATTCTGACCTTAAATATGGAAGGTGAATGGTCACTACTACTAGAGTCGTAAAGTAATATACCAAATTCTCTGAAATCGTGCAAGTTATTAACATCTTATAACTCACTCATTTTAATCTCCATAAGATGAAAAATTCTTAAACTCATTTCTTTTGATGAGTTATCGAATTCAATCCTAGTCATGCAAAGAAAAATTATGCCATCATAACATCATTTTTGTTTTATTAGTGGATCCCCCAAGGCTAGGGCCACACATATAGCTTTTGGTCCAACTAGTAAAGAAATTAAGAATCAACACAGCATCCAGTTCCAGCATGTGTACAAAGTAAAGTAGGATTGGAAAATTATGGATGTACTTGTTGTAGCTAGGCAATTCCATATAGCTGGCTATACAAAAAATAATGGTAACAAATTAAGCAAAATCAGCTCAGGCCAAGGGGACAAAGAGGAGTTTATATAAGATAAGAGCAGCTTCCTATAACTTATGCATGATATATAATTACCGTTAATTGACTTAATTTAGTGACTATTAAAAAACCAACTTGATTAATTAATTAAGTTATTAGCTATGAGTATATATAACTTGTTGCACAAGTTTTTAAACATTCAGCTTGAACAGATCATCCACTGATTAATTTGGTGGCAAGCTATGGCTTAAGTTATATAATATAAGACAAAAGCATGGTTCAGAAGGCATAAACAATGTGTTATGTGCTCTCCACACGTCTTCTGTAATTTTATAATCTTTTGCTAGTGATTTCCCAGAAAGACTAGGGTTTGGATAATACTACTCTATGCTCTACTGGTCTTGTCAGCCAAAAGGTGGGGCTAATACATTATTGGACATTATTGCCGACTGTGACTTGGCATCCCCACAAGGACTTGAGGAACCAGAAAAACCAGTTCAAAGTTCAAACTTCAAAGAGACTCAGGTAGTGTGAAAAGTGCCTTTTTGGGTAGCTGAGCAATTGGCGCAACTGCATTTTTGCATACTTGTATTTTGCTTTGACTCTGACTTTACCTAACAAGAATGAAATGAAATGAAGAACAAAACCCATATCGCAGTTTCTTGAACTGGTTTTTGCTTCCCTGGTCAAAAGCTCAAGTTGACTTGCCCATTGGCCCATCCTCATTAGTAGAACAGAACTTGAATTTGGCAAGCGTGCCCAATTTGAATTCAACAATCAAAATGGTACCAGAGACTAAGATCACATAATGATTAAGCAAGTGCTGACGGTAATGTGCTTGAGATGAAAAAAATAGGGTAAAATACTAAAAAATGAAGACCAAAAACTTGGTGACTTGGTGTGGGCTTCTAGATGCTCACGCTACCTCACTGTGTTTCTTCCAAGTTCCATGCAGACATTTCAATAGCTGTCCACATTGCAATTTCCTTGAAACTCATGTGACAAACAAGTAAGAAAGTTAGAGGCTTTACCTGGGTCTGGTCTGGGTGATAATTTTCAATATCACACGATACCATTAATTCATGTGTTAGAAATTTGTTGTTCCTGATCTACCAGGAAAATGTACAAACTTTACTTGAAGGGTCACCTAGAGTTGGTGATTTATAGTTGGTCTTATCTTACTCTTGAACCCTGCCCCAATACCTGCTCCTTCATCATCACACCTTGCCCTGCCCCATGCAGACAGTTCCAACCCCAAAACAGAGTGGCCCCAGGGGCAGGAGAATTTCCGATCAGTCTTTTAGTTCACACCAAACACTTCAACAATTTCCACAAAATAAAGAGTCTGAATTGTAAGCCAAGGAAATCAAGAAACAACATAACCAAAGCTGAGAAGTTCAGGATATACGACTTATAATAACACGTAATCATACAGCTTCACCTCCATGGAGCAAAGATTACAAAATAGTATGCCAAGCCAGCGATATAACTAACGGAGCAGGAGATCAACATGAATGACAGGAGTATGAGATCAACGCGAATACATTACCGAATTGATCTTTATATCTGAAGATCCAACATCCTCAGAAAACTCAAGCCAAATTTTTTACAGAATATAACACTTGACTAAGACATTAATCACATGT